ACGGGAAGAGAAACTGCCCAAAATACCTTGCAGAGAAGAAAGCTGAAAAGACACAACAAGGTAAAGCTGATTTAATCGTTGTAGAAATATGTTTAGTAGAGTATGATAACTCAACTTGGATGCTAGATTTAGGGGCCACTAATCATATTTGTTCTTTTTACCAGGAAACTAGCTCCTGGAAAATGCTTGCGGACGACGAGATAACACTCAGGGTTGGAACAGGAGAGGTTGTCTCAGTAAGATCAGTAGAAAATTTAAAGTTGTTTTTTGGAGATAGATTCATTATATTAGATAATGTACTTTTTGTTTCAGGAATAAAAAGAAATCTAATATCTATCTCTTGTTTATTAGAACAATTGTATAAAATATCTTTTGAAATCAATAAAGTGTTCACTTGCAAAAGAGGTATTCATATTTGTTTTGCAAAACTAGAAAACAACTTATATATGTTAAAACCGAGCAAAACAAAAGCTATTTTAAATACCGAGATGTTTAAAACAGTTGAAACTCAAAATAAACGACAAAATATTTCTCCTAATACCTACTTTTGGCACTTGAGACTAGGCCACATTAATCTCAATAGGATTGAGATATTGGTTAAAAGAGGACTTCTAAATAAGTTAGAAGACAACTCTTTACCTCCATGTGAGTCTTGTCTTGAGGGTAAAATGACTAAACGATCGTTTTCTGAAAAAGGTTATAGAGTCAAAGAAACTTTAGAACTCATGCATACTTTGTGGTCCAATGAATGTCAAAGCACGAGGAGGGTATGAATATTTCATCAGTTTTATTGATGATTATTCAAGGTATGACTATCTTTACCTAATGCGTCACAAGTTCGAAGCTCTTGAAAAATTCAGAGAGTATAAGACTGAGGTTGAGAATCTATTAGGTAAAACTATTAAAACACTTTGATTAGATCGAGGAGGAGAGTACATGGACTTAAGATTTCAGGACTATATGATAGAACATGGAATAAGGTCCCAACTCTCAGCCCCTAGTATGCCTCAACAAAATGGTGTATCATAAAGGAGAAATAGAACTCTGTTAGACAGGGTTTGCTCTATGATGAGTTTCGCTCAATTACCCAATCCGTTTTAGGGATATGCAGTGGAGACTGCCACATACATTTTGAACATGGTTCCTGCTAAGAGTGTTTCAGAAACACCTTATGAGTTATGGAAAGGGCGTAAAGGTAGTTTATGTCACTTCAGAATTTGGGGATGTCCAGCACATGTGTTGTTGCAAAACCCCAAGAAATTAGAACGTCGTTCAAAATTATGTCTATCCGTAGGATACCCGAAAGAGACGAAAGGTGGTTTGTTTTATGACCCTCAAGAAAATAGAGTGTTTGTATTAACAAACGCTACATTCTTAGAGGAAGACCACGTAAGAAATCATCAACCTCGCAACAAACTAGTATTAAGTGAGATTTCTAAAGAAGCTACTGATAATACAACAAGAGTTGTTGATCAAGCTGGTCCTTCAACAAGAGTTGTTGATGGAGCTGACACTTCTGGTCAATCTCATCCTTCTCAAGAGTTGAGAATGCCTCGACGTAGTGGGAGGGTTATAACTCAACCCGATCATTTCTTGGGTTTCGCAGAAACTCATACCTGATGATGGCGTTGAGGATCCATTGACCTATAAACAGACAATGAATGATGAAGATAGAGATCAGTGGATCAAAGCCATGAATCTTGAAATGGAGTCAATGTACTTCAATTCATTCTGGGAACTTGTAGATCAACCAGATGGGGTAAAACCTATTGGTTGCAAATGGATCTATACGAGGAAACGAGACCAAACCGGTAAGGTACAAACCTTTAAAGCTTGACATGTAGCAAAGGGTTATACCCAAAGAGAGGGGGTGGACTGTGAAGAAACCTTCTCTCCTATTGCTATGCTTAAACGATTAGAATACTCTTGTCTATTGCCATATTTTAAGATTATGAAATTTGACAAATGGATGTTAAGACAGCCTTTCTTAACGGCAATCTTGAAGAGAGTATTTATATGGCTCAACCAGAGGAGTTCATTGAACAGGATCACAAGCATAAGGTTTGCAAGCTTAAAAGATCCATTTATAGGTTGAAGCAAGCATCTCGATCCTGGAATATAAAGTTTGATACCGCGATCAAATCTTATGGCTTTAAACAAAATGTTGACGAACCTTGTGTTTATAAAAGAATAGTCAACTCTACAGTAGCTTTCCTAGTGTTGTACGTTGACGATATTCTACTCATTGGGAATGATGTGGGATTTCTAACTGACATTAAGCATTGGCTAGCGACACAATTCCAAATGAAAGATTTGGGAGAGGCTCAGTTTGTTCTTGGAATCCAAATTGTTCGGAATCGCAAGAACAAAACACTAGCATTGTCTCAGGCATCGTATATCGACAAAATGTTGATTCGATATAAGATGCAGGACTCCAAGAAAGGATTATTACCTTTCAGGCATGGAGTTCATTTGTCGAAGGAATAAAGTCCTAAGACACCTCAAGAAATTAAGGATATGAGACACATTCCCTAAATAGAGTGATCATGGTACATGGAAGGTCTTCTTCCTTGAAAAAGACCTTGAGAAAATTCTCACAAGCTCTCTCTTCATATATACTAAATCCCTCCCAAGTTTAGTCACTCACCGGATTCCACAATCCCGTTCTAAGGCCAGAAGATAGTGGAGAAGACACTAGTGGTGGTTCGAAACCGGTTCGTGAGGGAAAATGAATTTGAACTACAAAATGTTAGTATTCAAATTCATTAAGTTTTAATACTTATGAACATGCTAATTATTTACTATAATTGATGTTTTAAAAGTGCCTAAGATCCAAATTGCTTTCGCATGTGTTATATTAACACCATCACTAGTATAGACCCACCAGTCGGTTCACACACTTCCTTGGCACCTTTCTTGGTCGAGCTAGCATTCTCTAGAGATATTGCTAGACACCCAATAGGTATAGTGACTGATGAACATAATGATCATTTTCCTACCTTGTAATAACTTATGCGTCCGTGCCATCATAAAACGAGGAGTATTCTTTAATACATGAACACACAATGCTACATGAGGTCCCAACATTTGCATATCCTTTTTATCATAACATTTCATGCATATATCGAGGTTGTGCATCATGCTGAAACATCATATTGCATGTCAATCATATCATGTCAAACATGTGTGTGATCAAAATATAGGGTGTCTTCCAAACATATTATATCATACTAGGGTTGAGAGAGAGAGAAGTGAGGGATTTCTTGGTATATTCCATTCCATACCCTTGTTTTTTGGGATACAAATTCCCAAATTGGTGGGTCACCTAACCTTACACCATCATATATTATTAATAAATTATTTTTATTAAATTATTATTTGCCCTATAAACTTCACCTCCCTCTTTCCCTCCCCTTTTTCCGCGTTTTTTTCACTAATATTATAATTAAAACATTATTTAATCATGATTAGTAACTGAGTTGGTAGCTACTTTACTTTAATCTCAATAATTAATTGATGGTTAAATTAAGTAGGCCTCGTGATTGGCGGAACATGTTTGACCAAATAATTAATTTAATAATATTATATTATTCTATTACACTCACACTGCCCTATAACATTTCCAATTTATTCAATATATTCTTTTTTTTTTTTTTTTAACTAAACATTATTCTTCTTTCTAATCAAATCCCAAAACCCCATAAAACCCCTAACCTATTAAATCTCTATATTTTTCTCCCACACAATATCTTATTATAATAAAATTTAAAAATATTTAAATATATACGTCTTAGTCTCACAGAAGATTCATGTCCTGATGAGTATGAAAGTAGTTCGTGTATCATTACACTGAACCATGATTTTAAATGTACCACCTCATGCAATGCGTACCTTTTTTTCGTGGGTTCTAACCGCGTCATCGTGTGTTAGCCCATCAAGTCTAGGAGGTATGTATATGAATCTGTCTAGTGAATTTATGCATGCGTAGGCAAATTAATCTAGGAACAATAAAGAGAACCCTGACAAATCAAAGTTTAACGATTCACTGTGGCTAATTTCTCATTATAATTTAGTTACGTTGCTCGTGCTTCGATGATCTCTGTCTCGAAGTCATTGTCGTTATGGGGTCAATTTTGTAGACTCATCAAGTTAATCTCTTGTATCTAGTTCAATGATTGTATGCAATGATTTTAGTGATAAGGTTTGGCCTATTTTGGGTTGGATTAGGCCAATCATGAGCTTAAGAGTAGAATATATTTGTGGGGGCACATTATGCTTTTAGTGAATATTAGATGTTAATTATGTTTATGGTCGATACTGTGTATATATCATCAACATTGAATGTGGAAATACATCATTTAAACCTTCATACAACATAAACTTCATTTTAAAACACAGTCATGGATTGACGTGTTTACGTCGTAATAATAAACTAAATGAATTAATTAGACGTTTAAATTAAAAAAAAATCATATTCTAGTCTATGTTTAAGAAAATAAGTGTGACTACTCTGTGCATTTGTCATGGTACTTACGTGTTTGAAAACATCTTTAAAACGACATAGAGACTAGAATTGACTATCAATTCATCCTCTTGGTCGACAAAATCAGTAGTAATCACTCATGTGCATCATGGTGTTCCCTGACATGTTAGTCCTCTCTTCCATGACGTTATCTATACTATACGGCGCAGTGAGTCTCGACGGGGTGATTGTTGGCGTCGTGATAATCTTTTCTTCTACTCCCTTGTTTTCCCTATGTATCATGTTATTTTTCTTTGCTTGTGAATTCTATGAGGGTCGTTGGCGTATTCTTGGAGTCGAGAGAAACATGTTTGGATTCTTACCTTAGCCATGTAAAATAACATGTTTGGATCATTGATGGTTGATATATATTGATATCAAACCTCAGCTGAAATGAATAATTTTTTGATTTAAAAAGAAGAATGAAGAAGAAGAAGGTTTTATGTTGGTTATTAGGAATAAAGAGAGGGTGGAAGGATGCACTTCCTTCCATTATTGTGAAGACTAAAAAGCAAATCAAATTAAGAAGTAAGCACATTGGGCATTGGGGGGAGAAAAGCTCTGTATCTCTCTCTCTCTCTCTCTCTGCTTTTTCTTGGTGCCTCTGCTAAGCATCTTTCCCTTACTTTTGTTTTTAATTTCTTCTTCTACAATTCTCTGCTTCTTTCCCTCATTTTGTCGATCATTAGGAATTCAGCCAAGTTTTGTGAGTGTTGCAAATGGTATGAATCTGTGAGTGGCTTTAGTGTGTGTGTGTGTGTGTTTGTGTTCAAGTGGATTTCGGATTCCATGGGACTGTGTCATGGAAAAGCCATTCAAGAAAACCCAAAACCCATTTCACAAAATCATGATTCAGTGATCCAATCGGAATCCCCTACTAATTTCCCCTTTTACAGCCCCAGCCCTCTGTCCAATCTCTTCAACAACTCCTCTCCGGCTAACTCCACCCCTCTCCGTCTTTTCAAGCGCCCCTTTCCGCCGCCCTCTCCGGCCAAGCACATTCGGGCTCTCCTCGCCCGCCGCCATGCCTCCGTCAAGCCCAATGAGGCTTCTATCCCTGAAGGAAGCGAGTGCGATGTGGGGTTGGATAAAAACTTCGGCTACTCCAAACACTTTGCCGCCCACTATGACCTTGCCCACGAACTCGGCCGCGGCCATTTCGGCTACACTTCCTCTGCCACCGCCAAAAAAGGCCCCCTCAAAGGCCACCCAGTTGCTGTCAAAATCATTCCCAAATCCAAGGTTGCTTCACTAACTTACTTCATAATCTCTGTTCATCATCATCTTTATTCATTATTAGATTTATGAACACCTCATGATTTTCTTTACATTTTTGGTTTAATCTATGGTTGTGGATAGTAGACTGTGTGTTTATGCACATTGATGAAAATAATGTGCAGATGACTACAGCAATAGCTATTGAGGATGTGAGAAGGGAAGTGAAAATACTGCGAGCCCTCACCGGACACAAAAACTTGGTGCAATTCTACGATGCATATGAAGATCAAGATAATGTGTACATTGTGATGGAGTAAGTTTATATCCATCTAAGCTACGACTTGGTGATGCTTCACACAACCATTTCCCATTTCATTTGATTATGTTTGTGCTTCAGGTTATGCGAAGGAGGCGAACTTCTCGATCGGATACTTTCGAGGTATCTATCCTTATATGCTTCTAGGTTGAATTTTCAGGATCTTTGGTACACATTTATTAGTTGTTGCTTTTCTTGTGCAATTCTTTAGGGGTGGCAAGTATTCTGAGGAAGATGCAAAAATTATTATGGTTCAGATTTTGAGTGTGGTCGCCTACTGTCACCTTCAAGGTGTGGTTCACCGTGATCTCAAGCCTGAGGTATACAAAACTACCAATTTTGCTTATTTTGTTGTGCGCCGAAATGCTACCACAATGTTCTGATACCACTTGTTGTGCCATAATGATGCCACAACCAAAAATTGTTGTAGCAGAATGCCACCAACCAGTTTCCCATTATCTCTAAATTTGGATAATTATTGCTTTTGCTTCAGAATTTTCTTTTTACATCCAAGGAGGAGAGATCCACTCTTAAAGCTATCGATTTCGGGCTCTCTGATTACGTGAAACCAGGTCTGGATTCTGAACGATTGTTTCTATTCAAAATCACCTATCTGAAGGCACACAGTGGATTTCTGAGTTTTTATTTTTATTGTTTGTGCAGATGAGAGATTGAATGACATTGTTGGAAGTGCTTATTATGTTGCTCCTGAGGTTTTACATAGATCATATGGAACGGAGGCAGACATGTGGAGTATTGGTGTAATTGCTTATATTCTCTTGTGTGGAAGTCGACCATTTTGGGCCCGAACGGAATCTGGCATTTTTCGAGCTGTTCTAAAGGCGGATCCCAACTTTGAGGAATCCCCATGGCCTAGTTTATCCTCTGATGCAATTGATTTTGTGAAGAGATTGTTGAACAAAGACTACCGCAAGAGATTGACTGCTGCTCAAGCCCTGTGTATGTTTATGAGGATCTTTCTTTAATTGTTTTGTTTTGTGAAGCTCAAACAACAATTCTTGCATGTAGGCCATCCCTGGTTAGCTGATCATCAAGATATCAAGATCCCATTGGATACAATCACTTACAAGCTTGTCAGAGCTTATATTTCCTCATCTTCGCTGCGTAAATCGGCATTGGGCGTAAGTGTATTATTGTACTCCCTTCAATCTCATTCACGTAGCTGTATGATTTATGACGAGTATGTGATTGTGTGAGATCGCACATCGGTTGGACAGGAGAACGAAACATTCTTTATAAGGGTGTGGAAACCATTGGGACATAGAGTCTGATGTCTATTTATAGTAAAAGATGTAGAGATATATGGTATATATTTGGTAAACATCGGGCAGAGATATATATGTTAGATACTTCATAAAGATTAGGTAGAGATATATGGTACATACCTAAAGTGACCGATAAAACTTTTAGCCAATATTCATCCTTTGAATTTTCTCTCTCCTGTTATTTGTGTTCATCTTGATCGAGTGTGTGCATTGTTGTGCAATCCTAACAGAAACTTCTCCCCAAAGAGGACAATATCTAGTAGCAGGGGACTTGGGCTTGGGCCGTTAACTAACTAGTTTGGGACATTAATTTTTGCGCAGGCCGTTGCAAAGACATTAAGCTCTGTTCAACTGGGTTATCTTGAGAAGCAATTTACGGTGTTAGGACCGAACAAGAACGGGTTCATTTCCATGCAAAACTTCAAGACGGTTGCTTCTTTTTTCTGGTATCATACACAAGAATAAGAGAGTTGGAAGTAAGTTGATTGTAATGAGATTAAAACTTGGCAGGCTTTAATCAAGAATTCAACGGATGCCATGAAGGATTCGAGAGTTGTAGAGTACGGCAACATGGTAAGACTTGTGTTCTCTTCTTTTGTTTCAATGCTGCTGCCTGCTAATGTGTGGTTGAAAACAAGTGTTGTTGTATGTATGCCTTTGCCTGTGCCTCTGCCAGGTTAGTTCCATTCAGTACAGAAAATTAGATTTTGAAGAATTCTGTGCAGCTGCCATAAGTATATATCAACTAGAGGGAATGGATAACTGGGAACAACATGCCCGACATGCCTACGATCTTTTCGATAAGGACGGGAATCGCCCCATAATGATCGAGGAACTTGCATCGGTATGCTTTCGACAATGATGGTATGTTAATGTGATTGGAGTGGGATTCTTTTGTGATATGAGTTATGTATTATGTGTGTCAGGAACTCGGACTTAGTCCATCGGTACCGGTTCATGTGGTTGTCCAGGACTGGATCAGACACTCGGATGGGAAGCTTAGCTTCCTGGGATTTGTGAGACTCGTACACGGTGTTTCGTCTCGCCCGTTGCAAAAAGCATAAACTGAATCCACATAAATTTTGTGTTGACCAAAACCATTGAGGATTCTATAATAATATGATCCTAGTGAGAAGGAAGGAAGGTTGTGATGTGATGTGGTGTAATCTGTTGTAGTTTTGTAAGTTGTTTCTTACGTTTTGGCAGTGAAGTGATTGGTGGGGTTGAAATTGATGAAAGGATTTGTACAGTGGAAGAATAGAGGAACAACATAATGCACTCAAAATTACTCGATTTCATTATAAATTATGAGTTGAAGAGAGTACTCGATGTACCTCTCAAATATCTTAGAAGCCGTGTATTTGGGTTCTCCCCACTACATGTGTTATATCAGATCTAGTGTAAATCATAGCATACGTCAAACTCCCAATTATAGAAGCGTACGGAACTAATGTCATGTGTCCACGTTTCTCAACTATCTTGGGAGATTGTCCCTTTGACAATTTAATACGATTTGTCAAGAGGTAGTCTCAATGTACGGCTCCTAGGATAGATGTAATGGACCAGCAAATCTATCTTAAGGATCCAACAATCAAGAGTAGAAACACATAAGAATCCATTTATTTCTTGAGATCACAACACTAGTCCTTTTCACTCCTGTGGAAACCACTCTTGCATACGAAGGAGTCAAACTTCTTATATCATTGTTTCGATGCTTGTTTCAATCCATACAAGCTCTTATTAAGCTTACACACCATGTGTTCCTTGCTTAGAGCTGCAAATCCTTCTGGTTGTTGCATCTAGATCTCCATGTAAAAACGCCATTTGCTCAAGGTAATTCTCCGATGCAACAATATTTAGCAAAATTTGAATAGTAGTTAATTTCACAACAGGAGGAAAAGATTTCAGCAGAATCAATGTCTTTCCTATGTGAATATCTTTTAACTACTAACCGAGCCTTGAACCTCATTTTTCCATTTGGTTCAGCCTTCATTCTTAACACTCATTTGTTCAACAAAACTCTCTTTCGTGTAGGTAACTCAGTCATCATCATCCATGACTTGCTCCCACGTGCAAGTATGGACCCACCAGTCGGTTCGTACACCTTTTGGGTCCTTTTCTAGTCGGGCGAGCATTCTTTGGTAGCTGTTAATGTCGGATACCCGTTAAGAGTAGCGACCATCACGACAACATTATGACAAACATAATGAATGTTTCCCTGCCTGGTAGTGTGCGTCCGTACTATCATGAAGGAATAGGAGTATCCCCGATGGATTAGCACCAATAATGCATGAGGTCCCAACATTTTTTCATTTTAATTATCATTAATACAGCCCCACTAGCGTCTTGTTTGTATCATATATTTTCATACCATTTCTCATAACGTTTATCATATCATTTATTATTTCTTTCATCAGTATGTCGGAGTTGTATTTCATGCTAGTTTGTCGTTTTACATGTCAATCATAGCATATCATACATCTCACATATCAGTCATATCATAACACTTCAATGCTTTCAAACATATCAGTGTATATCGTGCACATATCATATCATATATCATAGCAATCACATAATAATCTTGAGCATATTTTCAACACATCATATCATAACATAGAATAAAGCATATCAATTCATAAACAAAACATAGCAATCACATAATAGTCTACATGTACGACCTATGACATGTGCAAAACCACTTGCATGTGTCATCATACAACACACAATTTATAACCAATAATGATAGGGGCCACTTACTTGGTTGGCCTTAGTCGACGTTCTCCCCAGTTCTAGTACATTAGCTCTCGTTCCTCAAAAGTGATCCAAACTATCACCGCTTTTCGTTTTCTATTATGTCGTTTATCGCTTTTCGTTAGTATTTCTCATTCTAATATAATTTCAACTTAAATTTATGAAATAACATTATAATGACATAAATTACCTTATTTAGGGTTGAAATTAGGTTTGGAAGGGTTTGAAGCGATGAAATTGGGTCAAAAATCTATTTACCGAGCCGAATAGCCGAAATTTGAGCCGCAAAGCCGAGTCGAGCCGTCTAAGCCAATTGAGTCGAAGGGCTGCAGGTGGACACGTGACGCAATAGAAGGTCGACGCGGGTGCAGGTGGCTTCGGGTCAAGGCATGGGTTGCACGCGAGTGTACGAGTCGCGGGTCTCGGTCGCGAGTCACGGGTTGCTGCATACTGGTTTGGGTTCTGGGCTGGCTGCATGTATTCGGCCTCGAGAATGGTGGTCACGGGTTGCAGGCATGCATCCTCGGGTTGAGGTCTGGCCGCAGGCTTGAGCCGACTGTGTAGATTGGGCCAAGGTGTTGGCGGGTTGTAGGCGTCTGGATACCCTATTTAGATCCGATCCGAAGTCCATAGACTTCGTCTTCTCCACCCGATTTGCACGATTTTTCTGACAAACTTTCTCTCTCTTCCTAAAACGTCATTCCGACATTCGTTTAAGAGATCTGTGAGTGCCAACCAATCCGCAATTCAAACTCTCTTTTACGACGACAAAGCACGCACGTTTTTAATGTGTGAAAGCTTACCTTATTCATGTGTACCGTCTTCGGTAGGTTGTTTCGACATCGGATACCTTAGTTACCACTAATTTTTTAATGAACAATTTGTTTATGATCCAACAATAATCCAGTCTTTCTTGTGCAGGTAAGGTGGTCAGATCTCATTATTCAAGTTCTAAAATTAGCACTTACGAAAACTACTCATTTACTTACTTTATATTGGAAGGAGGGAATTCATCTCTTAGAAATGGTAGGCATATTGAATTAGCTACAAAAATCATTGTCAGTTATGCAAATAAAAGAATAAGGTTTTACGTGAAAGAGTTCATAACTCACTCAGAATTAAGTTCGAGTCGCATATAATTATTCTGTGAAATATTCATCTTCTAAATTAACGGACTTATAAAGAGAGATTAAATATTTTGTGTTATAATCATATACAAATCTATTATATAGGATATCTCCACCCACATGTCTCTCATGAAAGATTTGGATCAAATCATTTATAATAATTACAAGGCGGATTGTTTAATTTGTTTTATAAGTCATTCAACCTTAATATTAAATTGTAAATAAATATTATAATTAATTACAAGGTTTTGGGATATAAATCTCAACATCATACATACGTGTGCATGAGAAACTATGACGCAGATGGTTAGAAGTGGTCAAGGAATAAGACGTAAAGATACTATATGACCCTAAAAAATTGAGTGTGGTAGCATATGCATTGAGCAGGAAGTAGTACCATATGTCGACACTAACCACCAAACAACGAGTTATACAAAGGGAATTAAAGCAAGCCGAATAAATCATGGTCATCAGGGAGGTCATGACACAATTAGCACAATTGACCGTGTGATTGTCATTGGGGTCATTGTTGGCAAACAATATATGGATTTAAAAATTGATTGAGAAATGATGGTGTTAGTCATTAAATAAGCTCATGAGTTTCCTCTTGCGTTCGATAAAGGACTCTTATAACGTGGACGACTTTGTCTACCTAGTATGCGTAACTAAGAACAAATGTTCTAACTAAGGCTCATTGCCCATCATTCACGATACATCAAGGTAGTATCAAGACGTATCAAGATTTGAAGTAATGTTATTGGTGGAGGAATATGAAGCAAATTGTGGCTAAGTTCATGAGCAAATGCCTAGTTTGTCAACTAGTCAAAACTCTGAGATAAAAACTTGTAGGATTATTACAACTATGTAGTATGCCAGAATGAAAATGGAGAACATCACTATGGATTTAATCGTGAGATTTTCCCGAATGACCAAAGGGTACCCAGTTATATGGGTTGTGATTGATACACTCGTAGAGTCAATATAAATACAAAGTAAATGAAAGAAATATCAGCAGTGAGATAAAGAATATGAGAGTAATTTTCACACTTTTACTCTCCCGTACAAAACAAGAATTCTCCTTCACCTTCATTTTAGTCAGAATTGTGCTAGACATTAAATTTAGACTGCATGCGGCTAAGATGATATGAACCAAGCCATCTCAACCATGAAATTTGAACTTCAACTAAGATGAACTTTATTTATTCTTCATTGGTTACATATTTTGGGTGGATAATAATTTAGAGTCATGGTGTTTTGATTAATGCGTACATAATGGCTAATTATAGTCATCGAATATGAGGTTACAACTCTTGAAATACTTTTTACAAAGTGAATGATTTTATTTTGAGGCTATATAAAACCATGTAATATCATATTTGTAAAATAGACTTGAAAAATGTAGTAAAAGAGTATTTGTGATTTTTAGCTAAGGACTATGTTTCTTTGCAGTTGTATGTAGTTTAGGTTGCACGCTTATAATCATTTAAACTTGACTTCAATCTCACTTGTGAAGTGATTCAAATCTCAAACCATTGTTCTTGTCTTGAGATATTTGATCAACACGATAATTCAAATCTTATTTCGCCTTGAGCTGTTTCTTTATAGTTTTGAGGTTCTAGGATATACTTATATCTAAAGGTCTTATTCTTCAATTTGGTTGTAAGATCAAATTCTCCAGAGTTGGAATCATTTGGAATGAAATTAAAATGATTTTTTTTTTTTTTTTTTTTGGGTTTAGCATTTGTGGACTAGGAGTTTGCATATTAAAGTATTTATTAGGGTTCTTAGATTGAACCGATTAGGGTTACTGTATCAGAAAATCTACCTATTCGAAGAATAAAGTGGCTCAATGGTATCTAAAGAAGTGGTAAGATTGCATGGAGTACCAATATTCATCGCGTCAGATCAAGATCCTTACTTCACCTTGAAGTATTGAATAGACATTGGGTACATGGTTACAGCTTAATATGGTGTTTCACCGTGGACACATTGAACGTCTAAAGTAGACTCTAGAGGATACGTTGTGGGCTTGAATGTTATAGTTTTTAGGTAGTTGGGACATTCACTTACATTGCTGGAGTTCGCGTTTAACCACAATTATCAAACCATGATTGACATGACACCTTTTGAGAATTTGTATGGAAAAAAGTATCGATCCACAGTGTGCTTGTCGTTATGTCCAAACCTAGTCCAAAGCGAATAATGAGGCTACACAAAAGATAAAGAGCTCGAATGCGTAGAGATCTTGAGGTAACACCAATAAAGGGTGTTCTCAGGTTCGAGAGACAAAAGAAGTTAAGTTAATCTTTTATTGGACCGAAGTATGAGTTAGGGATTGTAAGTTGAAATATGTTATAATTAAATATTGTGAAAGAATATAGTTTTATTGTTGTTGTTATGTTACTAGCTTATAAAATATTTACATTTATGTATGGTGGGGA